TCTCTCTCTCTCTCTCTCTCTCTCTCTCTCTCTCTCTCTCTCTCTCTCTCTCTCTCTCTCTCTCTGTGTGTCTCTGTGCCTGTCTGTCTGTGTTTCTCTCTCTGTGTGTCTGTGTCTGTGTCTGTGTCTGTGTCTGTGTCTGTCTGTTTCTCTCTCCCCCGCCCCCGCCTGTGTTTGTGTGTTTGTATGGCTCCGTTCTTTCCTTGTTTGTTGTGTTCATGTCCATCTGCCTCCTGGTTTCAGGTGTGAGCTGGTGATCACCCGGAAACGCATCTGAGGGGTGCTCTGGGTATAAAAAAGATGGTATAGAAACGAACCACCATCTCTTTCTGCAAATCTCACCACGTTGCGAAGGACTTATCACCTTTGAACCGAGCCAGCAGCAATCGTATGTCGGTTTGTGTCACACCGTCACGCACAGTCAAACACATGGTGAGACAGTCACACAGTCACACCGTCACAGACGTGCTTCGGTCACGCATAATCACACACTCGCACAGTAACTCAGTCAGACACACGGTCACACACAGTCACGCAGTCACACGCAGTCACACAGTCATTGACAGTTCACACAAGTGCTTTGGTCACGCACAGTCACACAGTCACGCAGCCAAAGTCAGGCACAGGGTCACGCACACAGTAACACACCATCACACACGGTGGGACACCGGCCCAGTCACACGTTACGAGTCACACAGACACTCACATACAGTCACACGCAGTCACATACCCTTGGCAGACTCAGTCACACACAATCACACAGTCAAACTCCCAGTCACACACGTCTCTCAGTCTGTCCAGTCACACAGTCTCACACACAGTCCCATGTCTGGTTGTCTATCCTTTCTGAGTATGGGATCGAAACCTGAACGGTAAGCATATGGATTCTGAACGCCTCTAATCTGTGGGGCAGTTGGTAAGCCAGAAGCCAGGTCCAGCCAGGTCGTGCCCTGACACGGGATTCACCACACCCACCCCCCATATGTGCTATTTGGAGGGAGCTGGAAGGTCTTGATTGATCCGCCTTGAAGTTGTTAAATTCCCTTTGGAACGAAAAGAATCCAAAACGAAAATATAGTTAAAACCCCTAAACCCTTGAATATCAAATCATCGTCACCACCATCATCATATACCTCGCTGCTGTGCTTTTTCCAGTAAGTCATCTCTGACATGAATCTGTCAGAAAAATTCTAGCAGATGCATCATGACAACCTCGGCAGGGAGAAGAAGAACCTGCTTGATTTCCTATCATCATGATATAGTAGATATACTCATATTATCATATTATAATAACAGTCTGTCACAGCCCCTCGTTTGTTGTCCTCTTCTCCCTCTCTGTGTGTCTGTGTGTGTGTCTGTGTGCGG